AAAATTCCTCTTGTTAAGGTATTATTTCAATTTCTCTTCCCATACTCAAAATTTTTGTATCATTTTCCTTTGGTTTTCTTTTCCGCCACATTTAGCATTAGTTCTAACTTCTGAACAGAAGCAAACATTAATTATGAATTAACCACCAAATGCACTGCATTCCTTGTGCTGAAAACCAGAAGAAAACCCAGAAACATGAATTTGATAGGAAATACAAGATCAGATCAATGTTTTATTAAACCCCTTTCGTTCCTCAGTTTCCCATCTGTAACTTGTTAGGTTGTATATGTTCAGAGCACCTTTCCTCCTTCAGCTTTGCCAACATACAAGATAGAGAGACACTCATAAAGAAAGGAATAGAATGTTGGCTTGATTGGTTGGTAAAGAAAGCATTCATCAATTCCCAATTCCAATTAAACCTTAATATAACTATAGTGAGGGGTTAGGTACAAATACCAAACCTCATTGAACTTATCCCATTAATGGCTTTTATTAATGATACTATTACTAGTCTCACAGGCTTTAATTTATACCAAGTCGCCAATTGCCAATAGCTTGCAGCTCTAACCAAAAGAGAGACATGAACAACAATCCTTTTAACAAAACAGAAAATAGCCAAAAGAAGTGGGTATAAGTTGCCTTCACTGCACATGTAAACATCCCCATTTTTTTTCGACTCAATTGACAGGCAAGTAAGCAATCATCTTCAGCAGTCGGGTATTCGAGGAACAGACAAAGATTAGTAACCAAATAGTTTGGTGGTGGTGTTGTTGTTTTTACAAAAAAAGGTTTCCAATAATAGTTTTCAGAAAAGACAGTTAAATGTTGGGCTGATAAACTATAAAAAAAATCATTTTTAATATATGAAGTATATGAAAAAAAATTATAGTGGATCAAACTCTCCAGGATAAAATAATCTTGTGTTAGAATAACGTGGGGATAAGGATAGTTTGTGGGTTTGATTTTAGCTTTTGGAAAAATTGGGATAAGAACTACACTTTTATAATTATATTTATGACCATATTACAAAAACAAATGAAGCGTAATAAAATTGAAAAGATGTTCATTAATAATTATTATGTTAGAGATTCGAATCATGTATACAATCATTAATTTCTTTTCATTTTTTCCATACTCAAACTATTACTAAAAGTTCATTATTTTTTCCCCCAAATTTTAGGAGTGTCTCGAGACACCCATACTCTCCACTTGGGTCCGCCTTAGGGTGTATGGTAAGGGTAGCGTATGCTAGCTCGAACTATTTATATATATATGGTAATTTCTATCGTATCCATTGCAAATTTAGGGGGAATTTCATACCCCTAATAAGAAAACGGTATCGAGACATCGAATTAACTAATTTTGGGGCATGAAACTAAACTCTACTCCTTAATAGATGAACGGTAAGTCTTACTTATCTAAATCGTAAACCTAAATCCTGAAATGGTGCATGTAATTTGTTGCATCTATTTCAACGAATCATGTTATCGATAATAGTTTATAATTAAATTGATTTTAGTGTTTAGATTTAGAAAAGACTTATATTTTTATCTTTAATGGTTAAAAACTTAGATACAGTATTACAAAGTCTAGTCAATTCAAGATCTAGATAATGTTATTACTTACGGCATTGCCATATTCCCGTATTTACCATGAGTACGGTAGAACTCCCATATGTATAACTTTATGATGCCTTTGATATATTTCTATATTTGAAACTGTTTCATTAAGATAGTAGATTGTTATTTTTAATTAAAATAATTAGGTTTAGGTTTCAGAATATACCATACTCAAAGTTATGGTTAACTTGAGACTCTAGGTTGCGATAACTCCCTGAGATTATACCATATTACCATATGCTTTGCTATTTGCCGCCCTACTTTTTACTAAGTGTCGCCCTACTTTGATATAAAAACAACGATATACCCTTAATGAAATCAACCTTCCTTTCTTTTCTTGGACCATGTAAAATGACATTGTTCGTCTTAGGACAGACCATGTAAAATAGGATGGTCCATACCAGGTTCGACCATGTAATTTTACATGGTTCGGGTCAAAGTCCTTTCAAATTGAAAATTTTTACTTTTAATGTGAGCTAAGTTTTTTAATAGGAGGAGGGAAGGAAAAAAAAATCATATTCACATCACACAAATACAATATTCACATAACAAAAATATCATATTCCTATACGAATATGATGTGTGAATATGATATTTGTATATGGGTAATGAGAATATGATATTTATATTACGTGAATATATTGTTTTAATTACTCTCATAAAAATATTGTATTTGTTTAATGAGAATATGATAGTTGTATTGCGTGAATATGTTATTTGTTTTAGAAGAATATGATGTTTGAATAGTGGAATGGTCAATTCCGGTCCGGACCATGTAAAATAGGATGGTTCGTACCAGGTCCGACCATGTAAAATATGATGGTCCATACCAGAGTAAGAGGAAGGGAAGGAGAGGGGAATTCATTAAGGGCATTTATGACTTTTTATATCTATTCAGAGCGATGATTAGTAAAAGGTAGGGCGTTGAATAACAATCCTATGTACAATACTCCAAATTCATTAGAGCACCATAGAAATTACCTAATTTTGGCAAAAACAAGATATTTATCTTTTAGTGTTAAAATATCACCAGAAAAAAAATTCTCTTAATGCAACGAATAATCAACACAAAAAGTCGGCCATATACAATATCAGTTAAAAATTCGGAAATCAATGAATATTTTTAAAATTCGGATAAAATTATATGCAGAAAAACATGATAAATATTAAAACAAGATAATTAATTATGTTGTTTAAAGTTTAAACACAGATCATGCTATGATATAGAGTTATCAACCCTCATTTTATTGTTGTTGTTGTTAACAGTTAACAGTAAAACTCAAAGAAAAGAACGGGGATGAATTTGTTAAGTGAGAGAGAGAGCCACGTGGCCACATGGGTGGGGACTGGGATTGCCAGCTTAACATCACAGCCGTCAGTGTCAAAGTCAGGAAGTGCAATGGCAATGGTAATGGTAGGCAGCCACATCACAGCTGGCTGCCTTTTCTTGCACAGCTGGCTTCCTCCTTACTACTCAAATACTCAAATCAATTAACATTTAACCCCAATCCACAGCCTAATATCTTTCTTTACTTCGTCCTCCCAACTCCCAAGGCCACCAAGAACCCTAACTAGGTCAAAACTCGCACAAGATCTAATGTAAAATCCAAACTTGTCACAACTCACAAGTGTATTTCATAATGTAAAGTATTAGATGGATGTGAAAGTGAAGCGTGAAAGAGCGATTTAAATCGATTTTGTCCATAATGCGAATGGGGTAGTCCAAAAGCTATCTTTTCCCCCTCTCCAGTAAGACTAATAATCATTGTTAAGGTAGGAATCCTTGTGATACACGGACTACAGGAGAGATTAGAGTCGAACCGGGACTTACATGTAAGTGTAAGAGACGTAAACTCAAATGAATCGTACCAGCTAAAATGACAGGAAATCCTATTTAACTCCATTATATCTATCAAATGTTAGCATCTAACTACTACTTCCTCAAGATTTAGCTATTAATAGTCCAAGAACATATAGCAAGCTTTGCCCGTATCAAGTAACTTCTCCTTATAGTATCCACTCCAAATGGGAAACAAAATACGGTCACAATGGCAACAAAAAAATGGTCGCTATGGAAATAACATGACGAGGGAAATAAAATGTATTTTTTTGCAAGCAATTTTAGTAATTTAATTGTTGAATATGGGTGTATTTTTTGGGGAAATAAACAAAAGGCGTTCAATGTCAACTAGCTGTCACATGGGAGCCAACCAATTGGGGAATAATAATTAGTTCTTCCATTTTTTGCCATAAAAATTTAATGACCTGGTAAGCAGATAAACTAAGCACATTTAGCAAAACAGTGCAGAGAACTATATGGATCCTAATCATAAATAATTCTTTACCATAACTATCGTTCTCATTACCCAAACAGAAAACATTTAAAATAAGATTTTTGCCTATTAATGACTAAGCCTCGAACCTGAGAATATGTTTGATCAATACACTGGACATGTCATTTTATTCGTGCGTTCCACTATACATCCCATGTCTAGAAACATTATTACGTAACCAAGGTTTGTAACCCGGTTTAGCCGTTTGGCCGGTCGAAAGTAGAGGGTTAATGTTTCGACTACTTTGGCCCGGTTTAGATAGGATATATGAAAAATTTATTATATTTTATACCTTTATAAATGATATCGAATCTCATCTAAAATATGGGTAATAACATATGATACTACACCAAAATAATAGTTCATACTTTGATCCAATGTATAGTAAATATTAAAACACACTTATATAACTTCAATATTCAAATGTTTAACTTAGAATTCAAAAAATAGGGTTAGGTAAAGAAGAAAACCGGAAAATGGGTGTATTTTGGAAAAACCAAAGGGAAAAACAATATCGAGTGACCTCCAAACCAGTACTCTTGCAGCGGGTCAATCCGGAAGGTGCCTTTTTTTCTCACGAGGTCAACCTCAAAATGGGTCAACCGACTGGTTTACAACCTTGGAAATAACCCTATTTCCTTCGTTTTGATTTTGATTTACAAATTTTTTTAATAAAAAACTATGACATTCATTTTCACATAATTATGCACAAAATTTTCTTACATTTTATTGGTGCGTAGTGATATACTTTACATAATATTGTGTTACGTGAGACATGAGACGTGATATCAAAGTGTAAATTAGTAAATATAAAAAAATGTGATATTGTATTCCATAACTAATTTAAATTTTCTATAAAAACACTAAAATTAAACAAATACGATATACTCCTTCAAAAATAATAAAAACGATAATGCAGACACATCCCAATCCAAAGAGACAACACAATTAAATTCCAAATGGAAAAACTTCCTATTATTGTAATTTCACATTTAAACCGAGAAATTACGTTAAGATTTATATAAAAAATTAAGATTTATAAGAAATACGCATCTTTATACACTATATGCCTCCAAAACTGCTACAAAAATAAAATAAAATATATGCCTCCGAAACGGGCCACGCGCCTAGTTTCCTAGCGTCGCCTTCACTCGCTTCTTCCACACGAGACGAGATTAAAAATTATAAAGAAGGAAAGAACCCGATACTTTGGTTAGCCTTAGCTGGTAGCCAGTTTGGCAATTTCGGCCGCAGTTTTTTTTCCTTTTCTTTTCTCTGAAATTTTCTATCACTTTCGTTGGCGAGAAATTTATAAGAGCTGGCGATACTTTCTTCGTCGTCTCCATCCGCCTAGAGAGAGACGGAAGAGGGAGGGAGATAGAGAGAAGGAAAGGGTAGAGAGAGAGAGAGAGAGAGAAAATTTCTGGGATTTAATTACACAGATTGGCTGTAGCGTTTGTGGGGGGGTTTTCTGGGTTTGATTTCTTCTGTTTCGATATTGCTTCCTCTTCCTTCAATCGGCATTGGAAGGGAAGGAAACGGAAAGGGGTGAAAAAGGGGAAGGAAAGTAAAATAGCCGCGTTTCATTTTCTTCACTTATCCTCTCTTTCTCTCCCTTTCCTGGAAAATCCGGGAAAACGAAGGAAAATCAGCGCAGCCATAGCCCCGCCGCGTTGATTTCAGCTAGTCTCTGTTGATACATTTCGGATTTTACCATCTGTTACATTTTGACAGCTGACCATTGATTTCTCTCCCTTCTTCCGAAGCTATGATGCTTCTCCGCGTCCAGCACATTTTCCAGAAGAGTCGTCTTCTACATCACAACCACCATTATTAAAAGCTAAAACACTTACCACCCTCTTTTTCTATAGCCGCCCAGAAAAAAAACCCAGTTCTCAAGATGGCTGCAAATGGAGGATTATTCAGGTCAGATTTACTGGGTCTGTTTGGCTTCGTCGTAGTATCGATTCTCTCCTCATCCTTCTGCCTCGGGATTCGTTCCGTCCCCGACGGCGCGGATCTCGCCGGGTTGCTCCGATTCAACGAAGCCCCCGAGTACCGGAACGGCGTCGGGTGCTCGATTTCCGGCGCTTCCTCATGCGACCCGTCTCTGGTTCACATCGCCATGACCCTCGATTCGGAGTATCTCAGGGGCTCAATGGCCGCCGTCCACTCGGTCCTCAAGCACGCGTCCTGCCCGGAAAACGTCTACTTCCACTTCATCGCGGCGGAGTTCGACCCGGCCAGCCCGCGGGTCCTGAACCGGCTGGTCCGGTCCACTTTCCCGTCCCTCCGCTTCTCGGTCCACATTTTCAGGGAAGATAAAGTCATCAATCTCATCTCTGCCTCAATCCGGCAGGCCTTGGAGAACCCGCTCAACTACGCCCGGAACTACCTCGGCGATTTGCTGGAATCCTGCGTGGAGCGGGTCATTTACCTGGACTCCGATTTGGTGGTGGTGGACGACATTCAGAAGCTATGGAGCACGGTTCTGACCGGGTCGCGGGTCATCGGGGCACCCGAGTACTGCCACGCCAACTTCACCAAGTACTTCACGCCGGCGTTCTGGTCCGACCCGGTTATGTCCCGGGTCTTCGCCTCCCGGCGGCCGTGTTACTTCAACACGGGGGTGATGGTGATGGATTTGGTGCGGTGGAGGGAAGGGAACTACAGGAAGAGGATTGCGATGTGGATGGAGATTCAGAGGCAGAGGAGGATTTACGATCTGGGTTCCCTGCCGCCATTCTTGTTGGTGTTCGCCGGGAACGTGGAGGCCATCGACCACCGGTGGAACCAGCACGGGCTAGGAGGGGATAATGTGAGGGGAAGCTGCCGGTCGCTGCATCCCGGTCCGGTGAGCTTGCTGCATTGGAGTGGGAAAGGGAAGCCATGGGCTAGGCTTGATGCTAAAACTCCTTGCCCACTTGATCATTTGTGGGAGCCTTATGATCTCCACCATGGAAGCAGCATCAGTAGCAAAACCAATGATCTTCTGGGTTCTGCATCAGTAGCTGGTCTTTCCAGTTACTTGTGAAAAAAAAAGATTGGCTTGTGGGGTGGGGAGGGTTGAATTCTTTGTTTCATAAATTATTCTTTTTTGGCTTCACACATTCAAAGGGGATTGATTCTTTGATAGCTGTGTACAGATTAGAAAAGGCAGAGCTATAGCTAGCTCTCTCTCTCTCTCTCTCTCTGTTTGGAAGTGGAAATTTGCCATTTGGGGGGATGAACCAGAAAGCTTGCAGAGGCAAGAGAAATTCCCTCTACCCTTTTGGGTGCTGGGGGATTTGGATTGTTGCTCTGTGTAATTTTCTACCTTTTTGGTGGGTTGATTTGTGAATTCTTCGTATTTTCTGGGGAGGAGGGATTATGTTTGTTTGTTGATTAAGTTGATGATGAAAATGGTGATTGAATGATCTCTTTCTGGAGCATTCTTTTTTACATATTTTGGGAGATGTTCATCTCTTTCTTTGTATGTAAATGGAGCTCTTCAGTTTTGTTGGGGAGAATGATGATGAGATTAATAATACCGTTCAGTCAGTTGTTCATTGTTTCTGATTCATCTTCTGTGCTGGTTCTACACTGTTCATTGACCCAATTTTAAGTCCACTGATCTGTGTCGGCAAGTCATAGGATTAAAGCTCTCCAACTGATCTTCTTTTCTAATCATCAAGGATGGCTGAATGGTGAGGCATGAGGTTTCGCTGGTTCGATTCTCGCAACTTAATCATTTTGTTAGTCATCGACAGAGCTGTAACTCGCATCGATTTGTGCATGCCAAGGTCGCAGTCATAAAAGAAAGTCTGCGTAGTCCGCAAGTAAAAAGAGGTGAAATGTGAAAGATCTGCAAATGTCATCAGATGAAGCTGATTGCATCTCTGGTAACAACAATTAGGTTTGTGTTAATCCAGATAAAGGTGTTGAACTGTTGATGATTGATTGGAAGAAGACAAAAGGATGGAGAAAGACAGAGGTGGAAGTAAAGAAGCAAAAAAATGAGATTGAAGGCCAGAGCAGACAAGTTGTGCTGCATCACAAGCAGGGCCAGCTCATAACTTAGTGCTGTCAGCCTGTGACCTTTGATTCCCCGTTGGACCAGCCAAGCCCTTGGTAATTGGTATAATGGTATATGCTTTGCTTCCTTTCAATTCAATGGGGGCTACAACAACTACAAAAAATTTACGAGGAAAATGACTTGTTATCTTCTTTCCTTTAGTTAAGTTATCACTACTTATCTGGTTAAGGTTGGGGAGTCAGGCATATAATGAAGGACACACACGACTTAGGGAAGAAGACTTGGATTTCTCTTTAAAAATACCATTAAGCAAGTCGGCATCGTGGAAGAAGAAATATGTTTAGCCCATCATAACGGGAAGTTTAGGTAGTAGGAGGGTTGTTTTGCTTCTTGAGCATTCTTTGTTTCTATTGGATTTTGGATACTCGAATGATTTATTGTACTTTGTGGTATTTTCGTTGTTGTGGTATTATTTGAGTACTTGAGAAAGGGAAGGGGTATTTTACTATTTTTGGCAGGGGTGGCTATACGGTCCGGTCTGGTTAAATTGGACCAAATTGATTCGGTCTCAGTCCGATTTTTTCGGGAATATAAGGACCAAAGATTGGATTGGATACAATCCGGTCTTAACCCGGTCCGGTCCTAATTTGATCTTGATTTTAGGTGTTGGGGGTCTCTTATCCGGTCTTTATTCGAGTTTTTTACCTCAAATCTAAGCCCAAATATGAGATTGGATTGTTTGTTATCCGGTCCCAGTCCGATCTCGGTCCGGGTTATACGGTCCGGTTTCGGGTAAAACCAAACAGTCCGGACCAAATAGCCAGCCCTAATTTTTGGGGTAGGGGTTAAGAGATTTTGTCAGGTTTATATGTTATGTAATTTTGGGTTGGGTTGGGTTTAGGTAAATGAATACAGAAGAATTATTCTCTAAACTCGGGTCTCCTTTCTCTCTTCTTTTGGTAGATTCCTCTCTCTCTTTCCCTTCTTCTCGTCGTCACTCTCTTTCTAGTCGATCCTTCTCTTGTTCTAACCCAAATTCTACCATAATTCTATTTTTCTCAATACCTAACTCTCTCCTAATTTGCAATTCTCATTCTCAATTATCTATCCCTATCATTGACACTCTATATCCGGGTTCTACCAATGGTATTAGAGCGAGTAGAGTGTCAGGTTTTTATGCACAAAACATAGACGTCTTCACTGGTGCGATCTTTGAAAGACACAGTTGATGTTGAACTTATCACCATGGATGAAAGCTTCAAGAAGCTTATGCCATTGGTGGAGGAGAACCAGGTCATGCCGGATGGAAAGATGTCGTAGGTTTTGTCTGTGATCTAGGAAACTTCACAGAGAGCAAGCGAAGACTTGAATGAATTTCAGAAGATGATGTTGAAACTGATGACCCAGTTCGAGGGATCGAAGGTCACTACGAAATAGATAAGAACATCAAAAGAAGCCCTATAGGTCTTGACGAACCACGAGATATTCACAGAAGGTTACTAGGATGGGACAAGGCCACGACGATGATGACCTCTTCATCACAGACGATCTCTCTAGTCCCGATGACAATAGTGACAACACCATAAGAAGAAGCCTTAGAGGTCTTGACGACCCACGAGAAAGCTGCAGAAGGTCACTCGACAAGGCTATAACAACAATCGAGACTATGACGACCTCTTCATCGCTGACGTTCTCTCCCTCGACCCTGAAAGAAATGGTGACAACCGAGCAGGATACACCGATGGCGTACTAGGGCGAAACGACTTAAACCATGGGTCAGAGACCTGGGTGGATTGTGGGTTGAACACTTTTGGCAAGCCTGCTATCGACACCCACGACCCATGAGCTGGTTATGGCCTGCGGAAAGACGTAATTGGAGAATCATGGGGCCATTGGTGGGTTGAAATATAGTGTAGAAGAGTGAGCTTGGGCTGCTCGCAAGAAGCATAGGGGTGGGCAACGGGTATTTGGGTATACACGTACTCGTCCTGTTTTATGCGGGTTATGGGTACCCATATTACCGTAATATTATTAACGGATGGGACTTGGGATTGTACATTCCTATTATGGGTACCCGCGGGTTACCCGCAAATACCTGTTTGGGTAATATGGGTACCCGTTAAACCCATTCAATACAAAGGTAGAATTAATATTCATTTTCAGCCTAGCCCACATCAGAACCCATTTCGCCATTTCGGCAGACCTTGACCATTTCGGGGCGGCCTTTTCCCTTGTCAACAGAACAGACGTCTTCGGCCTTGACAAGTTGACTAGGGTTGACAAGTTTAGTGATTTAAACTTTGGGTATTTATGGGTAGTATGGGTACCTATTGTCCGTCCCATACGGGTAAGGGGTACCCGCTTCCCATACGGGTTTGGGATATGGATGGACTTTGGTATCCAAACGGGACTGGGTACCCGTTTCAAACGGGAATGATATTTCGTCCCGTTGCCCACCCCTAAAGAAGCATGCTAAAAATGATGGTGGGTCGGGCCATCTTGGCCTTACCCAACGAATCAGAGGAGGCAACTCGAGCTAGGTGGGCTACTACCATGAGATAGACCCATCAACCGGTGATGGGTAGGAGCTAACCAGGGTTGGACGACCTGAACTCATGATTCGAACCAACTCGGGTCGGGCAGGTTCAAGTTGGAGCAACAGGTCGGATCATAATGAACTAATTAGATTCACTTCAACCCGAGTCAAGTCGAACCATACAGATGGGGTAATAGAGGTTTTTTTATGTATACACTATAGATTATTAGATTTAAAATCTATATAACTATGAGATACGAGATCTTTGCTAAAATTTAAGATCCTATATCTTTGTGGGATTTATCCTTTTTATGTTCTATTCTATCCCTTCCTCTTTTTTCCATTTTTCAGCTGAATTTTAAGATCGTGTATTTGGGAAACAAAATTGATGGGACCCGTTCTTTTTACCTTTGGCATTATTTTTCTGAGGACAAACATGTAAGTTGATTCGATACAAAGATTCTCTATTTTCATTAATCTGATGGTCGCCCAAATTAAAGTAGAGAAAATACGGTTCGTACGTATAGAAGAACAATGGAAAACAAGACACCGATCGAGAATCACTTTGATCGGCAACTCAATAAATGACGATTGGATTTCCTCTATTAATTAATCTAATAATAAGTTTTTAAAATGATTTTTTAATATAATCATTTATATTTTTGGCTCTAAGGCAAAGAAAGTTTCAGAAAGAGGAACTAGTTAGGTTGGAGAAATCCAAATAAAAGAATAACACCATAAAACAAAAACACTTTTTTTTAATAAACTTAAAACAGGAGAAAGTAGCTTTCGGTTTGAACACGCATTAATAGTTGGTAATGGATCTGCCGCTGAAGGTTCCAGAAATTGGAGGGAAGCTACCAAATTGGGCATCAATCAAACTAACCCTACCCCTCATTTACCATTTCACAGCACAAGATTTACCAACATTTTCCCTACCATAATATTTCTATTTAATTATGTATAGAAAGTTCAAACCGTTGTTTCATCTGAATTAGAAACATTATATATGCCTATTTTTCCGGGTAAATACCACATTTGGTCACTAAGATTACTAAATCATGTCATGTTTAGTTACTACAAAAATTTAATATCAAGTTCCTCTATCAACCAGTACAGATGCCCCTCCAGAATGCTTACTAACTAATGTTTACTAATGACCTAGTCAATCATTGCGATGACCCCAAATTTTACTAACTGATATTAGGAAGGTTACTAATGTAATGACCTCTTCAATAATTTCTAATTAATTAAGAATCAATAAGAATCGTCCACTTCTAAGTGTGTATTAACCGGGTTCATTAGAAGCATCCAAGAACCTGCCCTTGAATGCTTACTGACCTTGCACTAGTCATTATTATTTATTAACAAACAACCAACACAACCTCATCACCGGCAATGAGTTAAGACGCTCGCGAGCAACTCGACATTCGAATCGGAATAAAAACTCGTACGATAATCGACTCGTTATTTAACAAGTTGACTCGCTATTTAACAAGCCGACGCGCAAGCCAACTCGTTAGTAAACGAGCCAAGCTTGAGCTAGACTATGTTGAGCTTGATAAGCTCGTGAGCTAGCTTGACTCGGTTGCTTGTTGAGCTAAGCTCGTGAGCTGGCTTGTTTAAAACTTGTGAAATGATTAATTACGCTTCTGATCATGAACATTTTCTTGTTAATACATATGTGTATAGAAGTTAGATGTTATTTTTAGTTTCTAGTGTTATTTTTATCATTTAAATTCTTATGTTTACATATTTTTCATCAAGAATGATTTTAGATCAAGCTCATCTTGAGCCGAGCTTGTAGTAAGCTTGACAAGCTATGTTAATGAGCATTTCGAGCTCGAGCTAGATTAAATTTATTCAACTCGAGCTTGATTTCGAGCTGGATTATCAAAATTCGAGTTCGAGCCGAGTTCGAGCTGAAAAATTTAATAAACGAGCCAATGTCAAGCTAAGCAAAAACTTGACTCGACTCGACTCATTTGTAGCCCTAGACAACACCTCCAACATAAGAAGTCCACAATTTTGTTTAGTTGTTTTTATTTTAACCAAGGACTGAAATACTGTACCGGAGGTTGTATAGAAAAAATCAACGGTAAAGTATTTTATACTAAAATCATGGTTTAACCGTGATTCAACCGATTCATACCGCTAACTACCGCCTACCGATATAGCATCCGGTACAAAAATTTTGTAGTCGAACCATCGATATGATACAATTTTTCAATCCTTGATTTTAACTAAGCATCTCTAAGATTAGAGTACACCTATAATATTTCTTCAATTTCACCCATTAAGAGGGGGAAAAAAGGAAAAAGAGTCATGGATCCTTCAAGTAAGCTACATAAACTTAGCCATGGTTATAAAGTGGTATAAGATGCATTATTAACATTATTCAAACAACTCGAGTTATTGGAAACCGTTGATTTGATGACATGGTACCAGAGCAGATTTGGCCAAGTGTTTATGTGTTCGAATCTCTACGACCCAATATTAGTAGTTAATTAAAGCACAAATTATGGGTACCCAAGTGCAAACTTCAAACTCGTGAGTTGGTTTTTGTTTGCGAGAACGTATTAGAAAATGTTACAAGATCCATAATTAACTTTCTTTCAAATATTTGGTTTATAATACCATTTAACAAAAAATTCGGCACTTTAGGACCGTTATTAAGTTTTTCCTCATAGAAGAATGTTCTTCGAAGTACTTCGTGGATATAACATATATAGTTATATACTCATTATTTCATTGAGTCATTCGCAAAAGAAATTGACAATAGGTAATCAATCTTACAATGATTATGACGTAGTCCACTCCAAACAATATTGATGAGAGTTGTTTAATTAGTCGATGGATTGACCGTTCTAGTTGCAGCCAAAAGCCAGCCCGTGACATGTCTTAAACACAACACAGGTGGTGGGTCGTTGGTTGACAACGATCGAAAGCCGACCCTCAACGACAACAAATCCCTATGAGATCGTTATGGGAAATAATTTATTTTAATTAATATGTTAGAAAATGAAACACACACATGTCCTTCCAGCTAATGAGAAAACTTCAACTCTCAATATCACCCTGGTGGCAACGGCACAACTAAGCCACAGCTCAAGCTGAGCAAAGCACGACTTCAAGCTGGCTGCTGCTGCCCACTGCTCCACGTTCCCTAATGGTGATTTCTTCTTTCGCATAACCTGTCACAATAATAGAAAAGTCGGTACCACATCACTTGCATATTTTATCTTTCACACCATTACATTTTCAATAATCAGTTAGATCCCAATAACTCGAATTGTTGGGAGAGGTTCAATTGAGGATCATATACCGTTTTATTAACACCCCCCTTCAAACTGGAATTTGGACAGGCACACGTCCAGACACCGTGTGCTTAACAGAAACAACAAAAACAAATGGGGGTCACCGAGAATCGAACAGAAGACCTCTCGGTCACAGAAGGCTCTGATACCATGTCAAGAACCAGTTGATCCCAATAACTCGAGTTGTTGGGAGAGGTTCAATCGTGGATCATATACCGTTTTATTAACATACATTAGCCAATTGTGTGGATCAACTAGTATTCATCAACTAGACCAATAATTTTTTATTTTTTTTATCATGTGACATGTTAGCAAATGATATTATAAGATTCATAACCGAAACTCTTACGATAATTTGAGTTGAGATTAATGGCATAAAGTGCAATTTTAGATTATTCTAATATGAACCGCTTATGATGAATAAATATGGAGTGAATTTGGATTTAGAGGAAGCGAAATCATAAGCCTAGAAGGCAGAAAGCCAGAAACCTAGCCTGCCGTTTGGTCCAAATCAAGGCCAAATTTCTCATAAAACCAACCAGAAGAAGAAGCATGTGATGAGCCAAGTTTTGGTCCAAACAGACCAAAGGAGAAGAACAACGATAGAGCCCGTCACTTTGGCCAACGCACGTCTAGAACCTTCCAAACATGACTTGCATGCCAAGAAAGTCTCCTGAACCGAGTTGGAATAGGATCTATGAATTCGAAACCGACTTAGGCCTCGAACCTAGTAAAAAAGACTATAAATATGGTAACTGGGTGTCTGGGTTTAGCTATAAAAAGTTAAAAACCAAGGATTTGTAAAACAGTACGAAAGGTTGTACTAGAAAAATCATCGATAGAGTATTTTATGCTGAAATTGTGGTTTAATTGTTTTATTTCGTTAAATATCACCTACCG